CAGCATCCAAAAGCCACAAAGCAACTGCGGGTGTTGCAGGTGATCTCCCTTCCTAATTGAGCAATTTGACACAAGGAATTATGGTTTCCCATGTTTCATTTGTGTCTCTCCATCCCTTCTAGGACCAGGGTATGGGGTATTGATGAACATTATTGATCAATTGACAGATCAGAACACTGCACTTAAATTCTGAAAACAAGGCAATTTTAAACTTAATATATATTTTTTAAAAGTAAGTCACTCTATATTAAGGGATTCCATTAACATGAAGCATTTCAGTGCTACATGGGTCATTCTTTTCTCTACACAGGGAGATTAAGTTGATCAAAATGTACCGCTAGTGAATGACAGGGCCGGGATGCCACTGTGTTCTTACTCCATCTACTATACCACACTACTGGCTTTTATGGATTTTCAAAAGATGTTGTTCTTATTTACAGATATTAAAGGAGATTTTATTTTTAGACCAGAGATTTTATTTTAGACTAATACTTTATCATAAATATTGCCAAGTTGTTATTTTACACTGTTTCACGGCAAAGACTTTGGGAGCAGATCTGGCTGCTAATCCCAGCTGCCCACTTGTGAACTTTCCAAAAGTAAAGTTAATTTACTCTCTGAGTCTCCATTTCCTTATTTATTTAACAAGATGAACACTGTGAAGATTAAATGAGATAACAATTTCTGTAAAAGCCTGCAACCCAGGACAGGGCGTATAGCAATCAGTTACTAAACAGTGACCCTCTTTAAGCTAAAATTGTGGAATAGTTTTGTATGTAATTCTGATTTAAAGCCTCAAGGAACTTACATTCTCATGGGAGAGACATGCAAGATACATAAAAAATATATACGTATACTATTTATGTGTACTAAAGAGGAAAAAGAAAGCAGGGAAGGGGGATATAAAATATTGGAAAGAAGCTGAAATTGAATAGGGTGAACAGGTAAGACTCAAAAAAAAGGGGACTTTTGAGTGAATACCTAAAGAAAAAGAAGGTGCTGCCTGTGTGGATGTCTAAAGGAAGAGCATTTCAGGTGGTGGGAATGGCACGTGCAAAGGCCCTGAGGTAGGAACATGCGTGGAATGTACAAAGTACACCATGGAGGATGGTGTGGCTGGAGTAGAATAAGTAAGGGCTAGAATAGTAGGAAATGCCATCAGAGAATAGTGGGCCACTTGGTAGATCTTGTAGGGTCTTGTAGATCATAGTACGAACTTTGGAGTGTTTGAGCAGAGAAGCAACATTGTCTGACTTATATTTTAAAAGGATGCCTTTGGCTGCTGTGTTGAGCATAGACTGTTGGAAGGGGAGTCGGGGAGTGTGGTCCATAAGGCAGAAGCACGGACATCAGTTCAGAGGCTAATGTAATAATGCAGAGCTTTACCTTATCCATCTTAATGGAGTCCTTATGCCATATTCTGCCATCGAGATGCAGGAGGTTTTCCCTGTGCTCCTGCTGTGTTTATAAACACTGGGAGGAACTGCAGTCATAATCATTCTGAGAGTCATCCCTCCCGGTGTTTTATTTTTCTTTAGTATTTATTAATAGATTGTGGTACTATGAACAGTCCCATTTGCATACAGCTTCATCGGTGCCCTGCTTGTCTGGGAAATTTTCTTGCAAGGGAAGGGAGCACTTTATGAAATGGATTCTCTGTCAGTTGTCATACTGGAGCCATCCCTAGTGATCATCCCATGGTAACCCAGCCTCCAGGGAATGCTGTTTCATCGGGAGAGTGATCGATTCTGACACTGTCAGTCAACTAAAAGAGAAGTAGGTTAGTGGGGCTGGTGAGCACCGTTGAGACGCTTACACACAGTAGATCGGAGCTGCACTCTGCTCCCTTGGCGGACGTCACATGGAAAGGGGAGCCCTCGCTACAGGAGGTAGACAGCTGTTCTCCATCAGCCTGAAAGCTTTACTTGTCTTTCTTTTAAATCTTTTTGGTTAGGATTTGTTCCTTACTGCCTTCAAAATTTATACTGTAATTCAAGGTTGCCTGAAAATTTACATCTATGTATATGTATCAGGAAATCGGAGTAATCTTCTAATTTACTAGATTGAGATTCAAGCCCAGCGTGGATCACACCTATAATCTCAGCACTTTGGGAGGCCAAGGTTGGAGGATCGTTTGAGGCCAGGAGTTCGAGACTAGCCTGGACAACATATCGGGACCCTGTCTCTACCAAAATTTTAAAAATAAGAAATTAGCTGGGTGTGGTGCCACGTGCCTATTGTCCTAGCTACTCAGGAGGCAGAGGCTGAAGGATCACTTGAGCCTAGGAGTTCGAGGTTGCAGTGAGCTATGATGGGCCACTTCATTCTAGCCTGTGACCTTGTTTCTAAAAAAATAAAATGATAAAAATTTTTAAAATGTATCAACATGCTAATTAAATATTTTTTAAAAAGATTCAAACTGAGCCATGTGACCTTTACACAAACTGCCATGAAATTCTTAAATAAAACTAATTGTAATTTACGTAAGTATATTTGTATGTGTACCTTAAGGGTAGAAAATATCTGTTATAAATCAAACTTAACAAGTGTTAACCGCAAAAAGGCTGGAAATAATTGATTTACATCAGTACAGCTTAGCTGCTACTGTTGACTCAAAAATTCCTTTGAGTGTCTTTCAAGGATCTGTGTGAGTTGTAACCATTTTAACCAGGATTAGATCAAATATGAGTGGATGTAGTACAATTTAGTATCATAAGACATCAGTAACATATGCTCAGTCTATAAATGGAGTATATTCATCAACTTAATTACAAACATATCAATTTTGCTTAGGTGGAAAAGAAACCAAATGATCATTTTATATATTTTATGTATTAAGAACATAAAATATGGGCCAGGTGTGGTGGCTCATACCTGTAATCCTAGCACTCTGGGAGATTGAGGCAGGAGGATTGCTTGAGCTCAGGAGCTCGAGACCAGCCTGAGCAAGAACGAGACCCCATCTCTTAAAAAGAAAAAAAAAGAACATAAAGTGAATATGTTGAGGTATCTAGTTATGATTTATTTTACATTTTTATTTCCATAGTGTCTTTATTATTGTTACTGTCCTTGCAATGGAAGAAGAAAATGGATACTTGTCAATTTATGCTTTTGCTTTTTTAAAGTCATATGAGCACCACCTTCATATCCATGATATTTAACAGTCATGGACACTTCCACATTTAGCAGCTCATTAGGTCCTAAGAATAACTCTGTGGATGCAGAAGGTAGGCAATATAGCCCATGTTACAGCAAAGAAAACATCAAGGTTTAGAAACACACTCAGATTTGGATTCTTAGTCTAGGGCCCTAGGCCCAACACCAGACTATTTTCATTGGCTCTTATGTAGTCTTTTTCAGATTTGGGGAGCTCTAGTAGTTGTAGAATGATTACAAATATTTTGCAGCAAGATGAATTCAGTGGCAATAAACAATGATGGCAGTGTTCCTGTTTGAGATTTCCAACCAATGCATTTCTGTATTTGTTACCTGTGTCCTCTGAGAAACTTGCATTGAATATAGAAAGACATCAAACCATGAGTTGTAAAGATAGATAAATCCTCACAAATATAATGTTAAATGAAAGAAACACATAGCAAAAGAAAACATTGTAATTCCCTTTATATGAATAGAAGGTTCAAATACAGACAAAACACAGCAGTGGTGTTAGAAGCCCAGATGGCAGTTATCCTGGTTTGGGGGTGTTTGAGATGTTGTATTGATCTGGGTGCTAGTTGCACCCAAAAGGTTTTCCTTTTGGGAAGGTTCACTGACTTCAGTAAAATTCTTTCTAAAAGCCTTATTTTCATAAGTGGTAGTTTAAATGCTTTAGCCTTGAAGAGCGGTTCTTATATCCTTATTGTATATTATAAACTATCATTTCCCTGCAAAAGTCAATTATCCTTTTTTGTTGTTGCTCTTAAGCACATTGCATCTATTTTGAATTCTTGGAGCTTCCTTGTCACGGAACCAATTGCCACGGAGCCAGGTGAAGTCCATCATAAAATGCTTGCCAGCATAACTTTCTTGTTTATACTTTTTTAGCACATTAACTGCCATGTGGGTTGTATTTAACTCACGCTGGTTTTGGGGCCCAGGGCCTGGTGAAGCATTTGTAACTCACACACCTTAGGAGCTGCAAGAACTATTTTTCAAGTTGCATATAACTCATGCATAGAAAACAATAAAAAATGACAAATTTTTCATTAAATTAGAAAGGATCGTTTTGTTTTCAAAGTTTTTATTCTATTTTCGTAATAAAACACCGTGGTCCCAAGGAAAAACATTTTTTTTCTAGTGTGGCAGTCAGTGTGTTAAGGTGTTTTAGGAAGAAAGCTTCTTCAAGAGCTCTTGAAGAAGAGCTCTTCGGTCAGGATGTTAATCTGTATCAAAACAGACACTGGTAGAAATGTTTTCATGAAATTCTGCTAAGGCTCAGAGCAGAGCTTTAGTCAGCTTCTTATAACTTAACAATTTCACACTGAATTTTTTCCCACATAAATGGTTTCAGAAGAGCACAGATAGTTGAACAATAATAGCTCCATCATTTTTGAAATGGCCTTTGAATCAGAGCCTAAAGGAAATATTAATAAGATTGAGGCTAGAAATTACTTTGAGCAGAACTAAATTTTAGTAAAAAGGGAAACTGATGGCCACAGCCATGATGTTTCTCTAGGTTTCTAATGTTAAACTAAATCCATAAGCTTTCTGACCACAGTACATAGAGGAAAAACAGGAAGAACTTCGAAGATCTTGCGGGTCAGCAAAACCTTTTGCTGTCCTCACATTTTCAGAGTAAGGCCAGTGCGAATCACATATATTATGGGTCATGTCCTAGAGGAGGAGCAAACCATCGCTTCTGTTCCTATATGGGTCCAGCTTTTTTTTTTTTTTTCAGCTTCCATTAAATCAATCTAATTTTTTAAAAATAAGAAATGTTTTTTTGAATGTTTCTGCCAGCTATTTATATGTTGTGGCTGCTACCTCTTTTTTCTCTGCAGTGTTCTTTCTCCTCATCAGAAGAAGAAAGATTTATTTCCATCAGGAGACCTAAAACACCAACCTCAAGTGACTTCTCTGACCTTAATACTCAGACGAACTGGACCAAGTCACTTCCACTGCCAACCCCAGAAGAGAAGATGCGACAGCAGGCCCAAACAGTCCAGGCTGATGTGGTTCCGATTAACATAACCGGTACGCTCTGCTAGGCAGACAGGTTCAGAATGTACTTGGGAGAATGACAAGCTTTTTGTTTGTTATATGTTCTTAGGATTTCATTTATACATCAAAGGTGAACAGCTGAGGTCTGGCTTCCTGCTCTTTGTTTAAGGAAGGGAATACTAAACTACATATGTGTGTGCATATGAAATATCTATTACTCGTTAGATTAGAAGACTATGTCACCAAAGGTTGGTGTCAAATGACTCGGTGGTCCAACTATTCATCTAAAGAGTGTTTTTTAATTAAATTGCTTTTTAATAAGCTTTTGATTACATAGAAACATCTTCTAAATGTGGTCCTGGTTAAGAAAAAAATTATGTATTTTTCTTCTAAAGGGTTACTTTAAGTAATATACATAGAAATGAAGAAATAATCATTTAGTGATGTTTCTGAATGATAGGTTTTCTTATTATTAAGTGGAAAAAAGGAAAAATCACTTAAAAATATCAAGTGAATTAATAATGACTATAAAAATGTTTTTTAGAAACTTAATAGGGTAATGAAATTATATTTTGATTTTCATAATTTGAATTCCATAATCTTCAAACAAAAATTCATTTCTTCTGAATATAACATGTTTAGAATATGTTACACTCTCTGGAATAGGGATATTAATTAGCAAGGTACATAAAGCTAAAAGATGATCTTTCACGAAATTAGAAGAGCTGTTAAAAAGACATCAAAATGTTCCTGCTTTGTCACCTCCATAGCCCATGACAAGCATGGGGAAGGTACAAAGTGCAAAAAGACGGGTTCAGAGTTAATAGCTTCAATCATTCAACTGTGTGCTCAATGGAAATAAATGACTAATAGTCGTCATTGACAATCAGTCCATACAAAGCAGGGCCCATAGGGCCAGAACCTAAAAAAATCAGGTGGCCAAAAAGGGTAAGTTTTCATAAACACCCAGGATGAAAACCAATAGCATTCTTGCTGTGCTTCTGAGGCTACTGCTTTTTGCCATGGCATTGGTGAGTTTGTAAGGGACTAATAACATTTTGATAGTTACTGAAGATTTTGTTTAAAACCTTATAGCATATTTAGAAATTACATTTAGCACTCATTTTGAATTATGTAGAAATTTAATAAACAAGTACATGAATGATTTTTAATTCAACATACCTTTTCCCACATTTATTTTACCTAAACCTTAAAAGAATAGCAGGGCATTTTAATTCTTTTTATTTTTCCAAAAAATATTGTCGATCTTTCCGAATGTATTTCTTATTTACCTAGATCACATTTAAAAATTTTTTTTAATTTGAAAATATTAATGAAGTACAAATGTCTCTGTTACATGGATACGTTGTATAAGGCTTAAATGGGAGCTTTTAGTGTGCCCATCACAGGAATAATGTTCGTTGTACCT